ATTATTGGGTCCTCTGGACCCTTAGGATGTGCTTCAGTGTGTAAAATTTGCTGAAGTCAGTGCGGACCTTCCACGAAGCAACCGAGCTAAACCCCTAAACCCCACCTGCAGCCGAAAAGACCTACCTTTTTAGGGTTCCGTATTATGGCTGCTATATATATATATGTATAATATATATATATATGTAGAGAGATTCAGAGAGATAGATAGATTGATAGATTGATTGATTGATTGATTGATAGTTCCCTAAAAATCAAAGGGTAGTCTTAAGGCATATAAGGGCTTCGCCCGAACTTCGAACCTTCATGTGAGGCTCCTAAACTTGACCACCAAAAGGGCCCTAACATTCGCTGGGCCCACTTCTTCGTACTACTTCGTCGGGATCGCGGAAGGGTTTAGGGTTCGAGGTTTAGGGCTTTATAATCGTGCTCAACCGCGAATCCCTAAACTTTTCAAAGCCTAGCAGTGCCTAGCAGCTAGCACCGTAAGGCCCAAAACCCCTAAACCCTAAACCCTAAACGACCATAACTAGAAGCATCACAAGGCCCTCAGCAGAAGATGCTCAGAGGCCTGAAGCCGAGCCAAAGCCCTGCAAACCCTGAACCCCTAAACCCCCCAACCCCCAAAAACTGTACCCATAGGCCCCTAACTAGTTCCTTTTTGTGGTTTATAGTTAGAATCCTATAAGGTAATCCCAAAAGGAACTACTTAGGGGCCTATGGGTAGAGACCCTGGCCCCATCTCAGGGGTGGAATGGCTGGTGGGCTCCCCGTTGTTCGACGCATTCTGCGCGCTGATCGTGGTGTCGAACTCGATCTTCCTGGGTGTCGAAGTTCAGACACCTGGATAGCTTCTACCCTGGGCCCTAAACCCTAAGCCCCTAAACCCCTAAACCCTACCCTAGGCCCTAAACCCTATAAGCTCCAGGCTTTCGGGTTGTATAGCCTCGAGGCAAGGACTGTTCCAGTGAGTGGGTGCAGGTTCCTAGCCCAACGGAAAGGCGTCCTACGGTTGATGATAGAAATCCTGCATTACCTTAAGACCTCTAAACTATGGGAAGTATGGTATATTCCTTATTATGATTGATGCAGGATCTATAATTACCATCAACCGAAGTACCTACCTATAGGGTCATGTCCCACCCGGTTTTGCGGGCGCCTACTTTTCTATGTCCAGATATCAGCTCCTAAGCATAAACTTGGTCTCCAAAATACTAGGAAATACTATTCTTACGACTTAGGAGAATTATCCCCAGAAGTACTTAGGATCCTTTGGGCAAGAAAGTCCAAGTGGAACGTCACAGTCACGTTGGGCTTTTGCGGTTCTGTATGAGCCTGTAGGGGTTTACAAAAGTTGAAGCTGCAATCAATCCTTGGGCGTCGTTTTTTAAGTGAATTTCTCACCCACGATAGAGCCTCAGTGTAGCAAAGATGCATTTTTTCGAATCCATTGTCGCGTTAGTACCGTAATGCAGGGGCCTTGATAGAACAGGGTTTTGGGGTATATCACAACACGCTAATTCCACCACCGGAGCCTATACGGAATAACCCTAAACCTAAGCCCTAAACCCTGGCTTCTATATTAAGCATGAGGTTTGTGTGGCAATTCTACATGGTTTGTCGGGGGAAAGGGACTTGTGGTGCAAGAAATACTTGAGGGTTGAGGCCTCAGGGATGCAGACGTAAGGGTTTAGGCTTCAGGCTTTACAGGGCATTTAGGGCCTTTAGAACCCTAAACCCTAAACCCTAAACCGTTGAGGGTTTAGGGTTCAGGGTTTCGCCTAGGGTTTAGGGTTGGGGTCCAGAGCTTCGCAGCGACTTCTTGGGAATTTTGGACGCTGGAAATACCCTAAACCCGAGACCCGGAACCCTAAACCCTAAACCCGAAACCCGAAACCCTAAACCCGAAACCCGAAACCCTAAACCCTAAACCCTAAAGCCAAACCCTAAACCTTAAACCCTAAACCCTTAAGAGGAGTTACACTGTAGCAGAAATCAACAAGCTGCCGCTCTGATGCAGCTCGCCCTAAATCCTAAACTCCTAAATCCTAAACCCTAAACCCCCTACACCCAGAACCCTAGACTCTGAACCCTAAACCCCTAAATCCTAAACCCTAGACCCGTACACCCAAAACCCTAAAACCCTACACCCAAGAAAAAGGCCCTCAAAAAAAGCTCTGAACCCTCAACACCCTGTCATGGCTGAGCCAAGGATGGGTATCACCTACTTCGACGAGGGCCTGCCGGTTTCAATGTCCGTGGTGCAGTATGTCGCTACCTTGGTTTTCTAACCCTAAGGGTCCATGTACCCAAATACTACATATACTTTGGGGCCAAAGTAGCTAGTATATTTGGGTACATGGACCCTTAGGCCCCTTAGGCTAAGGGTGTTTGGTGTTGTACCCTGGTCTTTGCAAAGACTGCCACCCCCAGGAGGTGCTGTAAGCGGGAGAAGTCTCCTGAGGGTTCGGGAGAGCACTTCGACATAAGGTCTATGCCGCTTGGTTTCTGCTGGAGCTATTGCTTCGAATCCGAGCCGACGGCCGGAACTTCATTTTCAGTCCCGACTGGTCCTGGAATTTGCTGGATATTTTTGTGGTCATCACCTCACTATGGGACTCTTGGATGTGAAAAGACCCGGGCCTGTGCTTTCTGTCTGCAGTCGTGAAATCCTGCTTCCGGCTGATGGCATATATCCTGCATTACCCATAATGAGGAATATTATACACCATAATTCCCACACTTTTGGGTCCTTATGGTAGTGCAGGATTTGTATCATCAACAGTTCGTTCTAGTTCAACCTGCTAAACCATCAATCGCAAACATCAACTCCAACGCTCGATTCCTGGACATCCAGGGCTCTGGTCTAGTACAGGGGTCACGCAACATTTTCTGATAGCATGCCGTTGGTTCCTTCTTTTAATGGTACTCTAATACATTATAAGCAAAAGCATATTCTGATACTTCCGGCCCTGTAGTACATCCTCTGTCAGCCTGCCAGTTCTGTGCAGCATTTAGGTTCGGTTCGCCACCGATATGGATAGCTCTCTAGGTAGGGTGCCAGTGTTGGGATTTGGACAGGAGGACTCACTTGTATCACTGCGGTTCCACCCATGACACCAAGGCCGTTGCTGGGATTTCTCGAAGCGACGTGATTGTTGGTGTTGCTGCCGGCATGGCTCATCATCACCTTATTGCTGCTTTCATCTGCATCACCTTGGCATGAACCTTTGTTGCTGTAGCTGTTGCTGATGAAACCCTAAACCCTAAACCCTGAGCCCCAAACCCCTAAGCCCCTAGGCTGCTGGTGTTTCTCTGTTGTTGTTATTGCTTTGCTGTTAATCTCAGTGGTGGGGCACTCTGACTGCTGCGTCGCTACGTAATACGTACGTAGCTACAACAATGAGCATCAGAAAGTACATAGGCTCCTGTGCTTTGATGATGTTCTGATGCGATCTTCCAGAGATCCGGATACGATTTGTTGGAGTTGTTGTTTTCGCGTTGTAGGTACATTAACTTCATGGTCGTTCTTTCCGTGTGAATATCCCACACACATAGGAGAAGCTGCTCTAAACCTACCCATAGGCCCCTAAGTAGTTCCTTTTTATTGTTCATATTTTAGAATCCTATAAGGTAATCCCAAAAAGGAACTACTTAGGGGCCTAAACCCTAAACCCCAAAATCCCAAAAGGAACTACTTACGGGCCTATGGGTACTTACACCTGTAATGGGAAGCTGCGAGGAAGTCGCTGCCGAGCTCGTCTACACAATTTTGCAGAGTCTCAGTCGAATGAGTTCGGGTTTAGGGTTTAGGGTCGAATGAGTTTGGCCAGGGAAGCTTTCAACTTTCCGCAATTTCCAAGAACAGAAGTGCGTACCCGAGCACTGCGAACACCCCCCCCCCCTCCTTCTGGGCAGAACCCAACATACAGAAACTATTCTAGTTTCTAAGTTTACAAAAAAGAATTGCTGCATCTCTCTCCCATAAAGACAGAGAGTTCATCAGTAAGTTCATGGGAAGATTCCTTCTGTCGATGAGCCTCTTCTTGAAGCAACTTGATTAAGGCTTCGGGCTGGATTCTTCACGATGGATCCCGACTGCCAGTAAAATCCGCAAACACCAGTGTACTTGCAACAGAGTGTTGGCGCGCTTTAGGTATGTTCTAGATTCCGGATCTACCCGGGGACCTTGAGACATGTACCGATCATCAGTGTACTCCTGCGCCATAGCTGCCACAGAGCAGCTTGTTCCAAGCTCAAATAGATTCGCCCCGCAGCACTGCGACCCTCAGGGCTTAGAGTGAGGTTGTGAGTTCAGTATTGGCCATTCTGCTACTCAATCTGTCACACACCCCGCTTAGGAGAAAGACGGAAAGACCCGCCATTTGCAGAAACTCTTATTTCCGATGTTGATCCTGATTAGGATAAGCTAAACTACTTTATCCAGCAAGGGTTCGGTTCAGGCACATAGGAATCTAAGGGCAGCAGGAGGCAGAGATTCAGAGATGAGGGCTTTACATTTATGCACCTAATGCTACAGGATGAGGTTTAGGGTCTAGGGTTTTGGGTTTAGGGTTTATGAACCTAATGCTACAGGGCATCCGGGGGTTTCGGAGTAGAGTCTGCGAGATTTAGGATTTAGGATTTGGGGGGGGGTTATTCGTTCGGGTCTAGGTTTTCCACCCGGTGCTTGCAAACCGGCAGTCCCCGTGACGTTGAACCCTACACCATGTGGGCGTAACTCCTAACCCTAAACCCTAAACCCTACAGTAAACCTTGCCAGGAATGACATCGGAGACGTCGCCGGCATGAGCAGCCTCAAAGCCTTTCGCATCATTCGCGTCACGCGAGTCGTCAAGGCTGCAGCCTGATAGGGGAGTCGATTGAGGGTTTAGGGTTTAGGGTAGGTTATACAGTGGAATAATCGACTGTAGTCTCAAATGGTACCAAGAAGGACGGTGGTGTTCTATCGCGACTTTCGAGGTTCCACGTGTCTCTCTCCGTGCAGTTATAGCAGGACCCATGGCTGTGTCTCCACTTACTTTTCCCAAAGGCTCCATGTACCTTCATAGTAGATACTTAGGCCTTAAAGTACCTATATAGGGACCCCTTTAAGGCCTAAGTAGAGTCTATAAAGGTACATGGAGCCTTTGGGTTTCATGACTCCTTGAGAAGCACCGTCGGGATTCGAACGGCCTTTTGCATGGAAGGCCATGACTGCAGTTAGAATTTCATGGTAAAGGCGGTAAAGGCAGGCGAAGTGACGTGTCGAACTTTGTTGCATGCCGCTGTAATGGAACTAAAACCTGAAGCTTTTAAAGCGCTTCAAAGCCTGGAAGCCCCAAACTCTGGGTTAAAGCAAGCTATATGAGCTGCCACCCTGCGACTGCAGTACATAGAGAAGCCAATGTACCTTCGAAAGGGAGATTCAGGTACATGTAACGTACCTGGGTTACTCTAGAGACCCCTTAATTTAGACATGTCCTTAATGTAGGTCTTTAAAATGCCAGTCTGATGACCCTGAGCACTAAAAAGGCCCCGGAATTGCATCGCTGCTTGTCGAACAAAAGAACACGCAGCTGATGCGTTCATGGCAGGTGGTCCGCTTGATGCGAGTATTCCGCTTTGTGCGTCTTGGTCTCTTTAGCACTTTAGCTAATGAGGCTACTGTTCAAGCCGTCTTGCACTGCACAACATCCTGTGCGATCACAGATCTTCCAGTAGTCCACCATATAGGTAACTGTGCCGTAAAACCCTAAATCCCTAAAAATGTAAGTAGCCGAATGTTTCTGACCGCTCGGACTCATGTCCTTTGCTTTGCGGTAGAAGCTGCAGTCTGCATTGGATCTTCAAGGTTAGGGTTGAGGGGATTAGGGTTTAGTGGAAGTGGCTGCAACACGTTTCGTTTCTTTTAGTTTCAGGCTACGAGCTCACGGTTGGATGCTGTATGGCTGTGAGAAATCGCAACTGTTCGCTGGGGCAGAGAAGGCACTCCGGAAGAAAGACAGCAGCGAACCCTGCCACCCAAAAGCCTAAACCCCTAAGCCCTCATTAAACCCTAGACCTTATAAGCCATAGCCCCAAGCTTGAACTCTAACCCCCCGGATTCCTAAGATCCCCGACCTAACATCCTAAACCCTAAGACCCCAATTCCTAAACCTTACCATCCCCCAGACCCCCAATCTCGAAGCAAGCGATGCTCTCTTAGAGCTTTCGTAACGAGAGCTTATCATAAGGACCCTTAGCTGGACAAAACAGGAGTGGAGGGTCCTCAAATAAGGAAGTGATACGGGTCTAAGAAGGCCTAGATACCCATAGGCCCAAATTTTATGGCTTATACTTAGAACACTATGAGGTAATCCCAAACCCTAAACCCTTAACCCCGAAATCCTATTCCCTAAGCCCTTAAATCCTAAACCCTTAAACCCTTAAACCTGAAACCCTAGATACTCCCTAAACCCTGAACCCCGAAATCCTCAGCCCTCAGAGTCCTTGGCGCTTAGGATGGCTTTTCGGACCCTCATCACATCGATTGCGGATACGAGCCTTGCTGGTGATTTTGGGCGGGGGGTGGTGTGTTTTGAATCAATTTCCCTTGCTTGTTAGCTTGAGTGCTCTGGATTTAGGTCTCAAGTGTGAGAGTAAAAGTTTAAGATATAGGAAGTAGGTTTATGGGGCATAAGACTCTAGGAAGTAAGGTTTCGCTTTTTGTCGGGATTTTGGTCTTCGGGGGTGCTTGTTTGGATTTGGATTTCAGGATGCCGCAAATCCTGAACCGGAAGCAGAAGCAGGGACCCTAGTTGAGAGCACGGGAACCCTTGCTCAGAGCCAAACCCAGCGGAAGGAGTCAGTGTTCGGGATTCTTGAACCGTCAAGGCTGCGGGGTCAGAGCTTCTAGACCGCGAATCGTTGTTTACGGCTTGCTGCATGTCCCAAACAGGGGCCAGCATTTGTGTTACTTCTTGTCCTGTGGCAGAATGGCATTCTTTTACGAAAGCGCCATGCCGAACCAGAACGAGTCTACAGAGTCTACACTATTGTAAGGCCTTCTTTGTCCCTATGATAACAGAAGACTGAGCCACCCAGCGACGCCGCAGGTGAAGCAAAACTTGAAACAAGCGTCGCAAGGCAAACTGTGGTTGGAGTATATCATAAGTACGAGAAGGTCGCCGTCGTAGCTGCCGGCGAGGTTCTCATGAGTTTCCTCCTAAACCCCAATTTCTGAGGCTTCCACGCATAATCTCAAAGCCAGTGCCGCCTGGTTTAGTGTTAATATAGAGGCCCAAATAATTACCAACACTATTCCTTAGGGTTCTTTTTTCTGACTATATTAAGGAGCACCACACCCTATTCTAATTATTCTGAAGGCCCCTACATTGCAAGGTTGAAGTCTCTGTTTTGGGCCCTCATGCTGCTCGCCGTGATTGTCTACGTCTTTGCAGTTGCCTGGCGAGGTTTTCGAGACCCCAACAAGCGACTCCCCAGTGTCATGGATTAGGGTGTAGGGTTTCGGGTTTAGGGTTTCGGGGTTTAGAGTTTCGGTGTTTAGGTTTCGAGCCCAGACCGATGGAATATGTTTGAGCATGATAGGACGATCGTTGCTGCAAGGTAGGCGCCTGACAGACGCATGGGCTTTCACAGCGAGCATTACAGCACCGTTCGGGGTGTAGGTAAACCCTAGACCCTAGACCCCTAAATCCTAAACCCTAGACCCCTAAACCCCCTAGACCCCTCAAGCCCAAATCCTAAACCCTAGACCCCTAAACACTAGACCCCTAAACCCCAAAACCTAAGCCCTAGACGCCTAAACCCTAAACGCTAGACCCTAAGGGCCTGGGTGTTGGAGTTCAAGGTTTCGTGTAGCCTGAAACCTAAAGCTTGCAGACCAACACCTGAATGAAGCTCTCAGTCCTCATCATCCTGGGTTTTATTCGAAGATGCATTGGAACTTCGGATTCTCAAACATAGAAATCATTCAATGCGGGTGGGTTTGGGGGTCCCTCATTCAGGATCCTGCTCGCAGTATGAGGTCCCTTCAGGTTATGACATTCTCTCATTCGCATACATTGAGACCTCAGGTCCTGTTCACGCAAGCCGTGAACGCCTCTTGGCTTGATCCCTCAAGATTTTCGCGCGATTGCTCTGCACAGCTGCACCTGAAGTACCAAAGTACACAAAAAAGAGTAGTGATGACCGCATAGCTATGGGGCCGAGTAGGCCATTGCATGCCCGCACGGGCTACCCGACAGCTGCAACAACCCCGTTTGAACGGCATAACTATGCAATTGGACCACGCGAAACTACCAGTCAGCACTATAGAGTAGTAGCCGAGCTTCGTATTAATAGTCGCAGCAACACCATGACATAGAGCCTGGACGCTGGACGAGCAGGCCGGCAGTCCATGCAGCAATAGTACTTCTTACATATAAACCAAGCCTAGGTTTAAGTGCCCTAACTTGAATGCCGCATTGAATGCCCCTTCGCATCGATAATGCGGGCTGGTGTCAATTAACGGTTTGATTGCCATCTTCTTGCCCTATATTGTGGGCTCCTATCTCACAGGGCCTACGACCTACGAACCCTTGATTTCTAGGGTTTGCAAAGGGAGTATACCTCAAGTTCCGGAGACCTCCTTCGTGTGTTTAGGCCTTATTTCAGTGGAATTGGGCCGTCTGAAATAATGTAACTGTGGTACCATAGCATTTGTCTATATGTATACACATATACATATATATACACATATATATATATATATATACATATCTATGTATATGCCTATAGAGAGGTGCAGAGATATACATGTGTGTATATATATATGTATATATATATATACATACATACATACACCTATTTTGTTTGCTTTTCATTTATTTACAAGCATCTCTATTTCTAGAGGTTGGCAGCGGAACCCGAATCAATTCGGGGGTTTCAGCATGTGCGGTTCGAGGCTTAGAGTTGTTGTGGTGCAGTTCTGAAGACTTGTTATGTATGGTTTCAGGTTTGGATCTTTCATTTTAGAATGTGCCGAAAACGAATGAGAGTCCTTCTGTTGAGGACTATGTGTTGGACCCCGACAATCCGACGCTTCCAGACCGGGAATTGGAAGCCAGTGAACGATACTATCGTTCGCTTTATCAGCTGCTCGTCTGGACCATGACACAAAAAAACAAAAAACATGTTCCGGCGATGCGGAGCCCCGCCCATCATCCAAAAACCTGCGGGTGCGGAAGCTACAAGGACGATGTTGAGCCTAAGCCCTAAACCCTCAAAGCGCCAACCGCCAAGTACGATGTTGAGCCTCTTCATGGGCGTGTCCGGCGGTATCAACTGGTCTGAGGCCAAACTAAGGACTCGGAGGAGGTTCTTTGGTTTTTGGAGTTCAGGGGTGGTTTAGGGTTGAGGGCATGGGTTCATGGGTTTAGGGACCTGAGGCTTAGAGGGATGGTTGGGGATTGTGGAAGTTCAGCAACAGCCAGCAGCTGCACACAACTGACATTAACAGTCGCCGTAGTCTGAATCTTGCTGGTGTATGTGTGTGTATATACATATACATATATATATATATATGTATGCGTATCTCTGTGTGTGTATATATATATTGCGAAAACCTACACTTGTAGTTGTTTTATCACACTCGTTTTCTTCTTGGTCTCTCTTCAGAGTCTTGAGTGTTTCTTGTTAAACCCTTTTCTACACTCTAAACCCAAACAGTCCCAAACATATCTAGAATCCAAACCCCGCAACTTGAAACCTGCACGGCAAGCAAGTCCGGAGCCATGTTGAGGGCTCAGGGCTTAGAGCTTTTGCAGGTTCCGGGCCAAAGCTCCAAACCCATAGGGTGCAGCGCACCGTTGAATTCTACTGTGATTCGTTGAGCAGACTTAGTGCGTGTAAGTGCCGTAGATATAGAGACTTAGTATAGGATCGAGTGTTGAGTGTTGTTCACGCATGTATACTTGCAGACCTTGCAAGGGGAGCCTAACACGGCAGCACCGCAATCGGAGACCTCTGCTACCGCCCAGAAAAACAGCTGCAGGAACCCTGCCGTTGCACGCCTGGAAAATCCTCTGAATTGGGGTTACACCAAAAGATAACGTTAGTCTTCGAGCCGTTAGACCAGAAGCCCTATAAGCCTCACACCCTAAGCCCTGGCCATGCCGCCTTTTGGGTCTATAGGTTGGGCGAGAGCAAAAAGCGGCTCAACAGAAAGCCCGTTAACCAAAAATCTCCTGAGCTGGACCATCCCGGAGGTCATGGCACCTTTGCTGGAGATCTCGCCAATCTGGGTTTTTATGTTCTTGCTGCGCGGCTGGAACAGCATCGAACATTTTGCCAAAGATTGCTGGTGCCATGCAGGGAGGAAGTGTGACGGCACGAAGCATGATCATGGGTACGTTCAGGGCTTAGGCTTAGGGTTTACATGTAGCATCATGATGCAGTGCTTTGCAGGAGTGCGCGAGGAAATCGCAGCAAGTTTGGCTTTCAGTTTGGTAGACTCGGTCGCGCGAGAAGGAAGTTAAGTCCCGGCGGTATGCAATGGTCGCTGATATGTTGCAAGCATGCTTGAAACTTGAAAAATGAGGTTTTACATCTGTTTCACGTATTTCGCGGTCTTAAATGTGGTCACTGGAGCCTCGGCAGATCAGTTTCTTTCTTTTTATCTTTCTTTATCTATACATTTCTGCCGCGTTTTGCATGTTATGCTGTCGTGTATGTCTAAAGGCTGAAAGTAGTCGTCTGAGTTGCAGACATGCGGCGGGTAGCCCTGAACCCTGTGAACCCTCAGTTGTCTAGGTTTGGTTCCCTCCTGATTCGTTTATGTTGTCGGCGTACTCTTCTGTGGTTCCAAAATCCCCCTACGCCCGAAGCCCTTAAACCCCTAATAGCCTATAGTAGACCCTAAACCCGAAACCCTACATAAACCCGCTGCGTCGACCGTGGGCCAGTGGGAGCCCCTTACCATGGCGCGTTTGCATCGATCTCATGACTGGCACAGACCTGACAACATACCCGTATCCAGAGTAACCATGGTACCAGAAAAGGGTGATGTAATGTACTGCACAGTTTTTTGAGGGTCATATCCTTCTTTGAAATGAAACGTACTGCACACTGGTTCCTCTAGATAGTCTCGAAAAATGAAGAATGTTACCTAGCAGGTAAGTGCGGGGATGCAATTGAAGCCGGGGGTAAAGTTGCCAGCGCCGTCGTGCCTATTCACAATGCTGTTACTGTTAAACCCTAAATCTTAAACCGCTAAAGGGCGTTTTGCTTTTTAAACGTTTTGCTTTTTGATTGAAACCTAGGAGGGTTTGCATAAGCTCAGATGTTGTATAGTAGGTATGTAGGCGGCTATTTTTGCATGTTTTGCAAGTCGCCATCTGCAGGGCATGCCTTCTAGGCCAAGTTCATCATCAACAATATAGCGCGGGATCATGTGTGCTCTTTATGTATGCTCTCTGTTTCATGCCGGTGGTGCGAATCCGGTTCTGATCACACTTACAAGTAGCAACGACAGCAAGAGAATTTGTACCTGCTCTCGTTGTCAAGACAGCCCTGCCTCCACAGTTACGGGTGTCTACGGTCTGCTGTCCAGTTGCGTAGGACTGTGAGAAAGATAGACTGTGGAGGGGAGTGTCCTTTTGGCTTCTGACTGCACCGGAACAGAGACTCATTCGCTCATGTTTGCAAAGCGCAATAAGGAGTCTTCTGCCAGACAGCCATCGAAAGTGCTCAGAATGACCACACCGCGGTCGTGCACTCCATCCTCAAGAACAAGCAAGCGCACGTTGAGAAGATCCGAGCACTCTTCAACTCTATCGGCGACGACCAAACAGGTATCATCACCTTTGCCATGTTCGAAGAGAAAATCAACTCGCCGGCTGTGAAAGCCTACTTCGAAGTTTTGGGTCTCGATGTGTGGGATGCGCCTCGGCTAGCAGTCTTTAGTAAACCCTATCAAACCTAAGGCCCTAAACCCTAAACCTAAGCCGAAAGGTTCCGGGTGTCCGGAAGAGGAAGCGTTTTCAAAACAAGCCCTACGGAGCTTCTCTGTTCCTAGGCAGCCTTCTATTGACACCAAGACCAGAATTCTAACTCGGTAATCTAGGGGCTTAAATAATTACCAATTCTATTTTGGGGGTTCCTTATTATGATTCTAACATAATATACCCCAAAACCCCATTCTAATTACTAAGGCCCCTACATTATCCCGTCTTTCTGAACTTACGGGATACTCTCGAGTAGCAGAAAGCAAAGAGTTGCAGAAATGCACATTTCCAGGTCGTCGCCGGTGGGCTACATAAGTGTTCCTTCAAGGAGGTTTGAGGCCCAAAACAGACCACACAAGCAAGCACAAGGATCTCACGACACTAGCCCTTCGAAGGCGAATTTCAGAGCCACGGTTCAGAGGTTCAGAGTTTACCCTAACCCCCCAGTTACCTACTATATAGGGCCCTAGGGGCTCCAGTACCCTACATAGTAGGTACCTGGGGGTTCAGAGTTTAGGGTAGCAAAGCTTGGTTTGCGAGCTTGTTTTGTCTATGTGGTCTTCAGGGCGACCTGCTCACCCGTAATGTGACCTCCTGATTATAGGGTTTAGGGTTTAGGGTTTAGGGTTTATAGGGTTTAGGGTGATTATGAAACCCCCCCCAAACAACCTGGAATCCGGAATAGTTTGGAGTTGTTTCTCGGCCTGCGGATTTGGACTTGTTTGGGGGGGGGGGGGGTGTCGAACTTGTTTGGGGTCCGGGGCTCTCGGTAGTGGTACAGCCGTATAGTAGCTAGCCTTAATTATGTGTGGCAGGCTGGCTGTCTCTCCTCTCTGTGTCTCCTTTATGTTGCCTGTCTTTGTCTCTCCTCCTCCAGGGCGTCAGTTTGTAGTAGCAGTGTCTGTTTCCCTAAACCTTGAAAAATAATACAGGCCGGACGGAGCTTCAGCACTATTGAGGGGACTAAAGCATCATCATTATTCTGTGCAGGGCCGAGTTTCGCTCTATTGACGGGGGGCCTTTAATTTAATAATCACCAGGTCACATTAGTCCATAGAATCCTTGAGAAACTTGAAACCTGAACCCTAAACCCTAAACCTAAACCCCTGAGACTCCCCCCTAAGTAAGGCGTGCTCCTACTACAAACCATGAACTCTTATCCAACCGCTGAGAACCTCAGGCCCTAGACCAGACCCTTGCAGAACCCATATGGAAATCTGAGACTAACCCTGTATGCTGATATGCTATATAATGTATATGTTGCATAACAACATGCGTATTATACATACATATATATATATATATGTATATATATATGTGTATATATATATATATGTATACGTATCAGGTGTTTCATAATGTACCTTGTATTGTGTATCTTAGTAAGGCATGGTCTTTCTTCAAGCTCTTAGACCTCGATGACGGGGGTGATGTGGAGATTGAGGACACGTCGATGCTCCGGCGTAGGTCTAGAGTTGAAAAATAGAGTTACCCTCACCCCCCAGTTACCTACTATATAGGGCCCTAGGGGCTCCAGTACCCTATATAGTAGGTACCTGGGGGGTTAGGGTTAATTGAGGGCTTTGCCCAGAACTTGGGGCGTAGAGCTTTGGAGGATAGGTCTTCCGAACTTTCGGCTGCAGGGTTTAATCTGCATCAGGTTTCTATATAAAATGTGGGGGTTTAGTAATTTCAATAGGGGTTTGAGGTGCCTTAATAAAAAAATACTAGATTTTCAGAGGGACCGCGGGGGAATACTATAGTGTTAGTACTTATCAAGGCCCTGTACTATTGTACTGCTCAAACCGGGCAATGCGTGAGGACAGGATTTGGATGTTCAGGGTTTTTCGGGTACGGTTCGGATTGATGTGAACAGTGGTACTAGCAGCTGGCGCAGCAGTTGGAGACGTTGTTGACTGTTCTTCAAGTCAGTGTGAACTGCAAAGAAATCATAAAGTATGGAGTCCCTAGACATCCCTGGAATCACACGCCCCACATTCTTCGCGAGATCTTGAACCACGATCAACTTGTGGTGTCGTAGCCCTTTGCTGCCTTTGTAAGTATAGCCAAAGAAGGTGAAGCTTAACAGGTTGGGTTCTTCGGCGTCGGCTGTGAGGACATGTCTCTCAGGGTTTTGGACCGGAAAAGTGGTGCCGGCGGTCATGAAAACTCGCGTGCCTTCAGCAATGTGCAGTTTTTTGCATGGCAGCCATGGCAATAAAACTATAGCATGCTCAGGGTTTTGCGGTACCGGCAGCAGTGCCGGAGTCGGCATGACACTCGTAGTGGCTTTGGTAACTTCTCAACTGCGCTGCGAGTATATACACGGAGGGTGTGACAGCCAATCCATCCAGAAGCATAGCCTGCATGGGCCCTGCAAAAATCTAGCTCTTGCCTGTAGCCGAAAAGACGTACTGTTTTAGAGTTCCTGATTATGGTTTTCTATAATATATATATATACATATATATATATACACATCTATTTTTTTCTTAAGAAGGCAGGTCTTTTGGGCCAAAGGTACAGTATCTGGCCCAAAAAACAACAGGGATGTTGAGCCTAGCAAGGTGCGTTCTGTACAGCACAGTCCAGGTCAACTCTGAAATAAATCTTCCGAAAATAGGGGACCCTAATATAGTACCTTAAAAAAGTAGGATCCTTATTATAGGGACCCCAAAATAAGGTACCCCTAATTTTTAAGAGAAGCCAAGCCTTCAACTGCAATCTGGAAGACACCCTATAGACCCTTCAAGAAGGTTATAATAATATAGCACCCTACCAAGCCTGATAAAAAAAAAGTATACCCCCAAATCAAAGGAGTTTTTAGTCTTAAACCCTATACACCCTATAAAAGCGTCTAGAAGACCCTACACAGAGCCAATTCCAGGAGTTTTTGATGGGCTGCCTTCGCCTGCGTGGAACCGCACGCGCCATCGACGTGGGCAAGCTCATCCATGTGGCTCGCCCCCACGAGTTTCGGAGTAGGCTTTACCTTTAGGGTTTAGGGGTTTAGGGTTTAGGGGCTCCATTGTAGTTCTTTTTGGGATTACCTTATTATAGGATCCGAAATGGAAGGATCCCAAATAGAAACCACAAAGAGGAACTACAATGGAGCCTAATTATAGGTACCAGGTACGTTACCCCACCAAAATCTACGTTTTGGTAGGAACTGTACAAGTTTGATATCGTGGGTTGAGATTACATAGGACCCTACCCAAAAAATAGGTTCTGGCAAGTAAAGGCAGGCTCTCAGCCATGGGGCCAGACTGTCAAAATTGAACTACGGATCCGTGCGCACCCCCATGCAAAATCCAAGACCCTGCACCCCGAACCCTGAACCCTGTAAACCCTAAAGCCTGAACCAAGGACCCCAGAGTCGTCGTGCATGTGCCCCACTATAGCAGGGTTTATCCTTCCGATTCGTCGGGGTGTGCGGACCCCAAATGCAGGATTTGAGGATTGAAGGCTTTCTGGCAGCAGAAGGAGGTGAATCGGCAAAGATAAGGATCAAATCGGGTCTTGATACGACCGACGCCGACCACTGGCTCACTCAGTCCAGTAGAGCAGACTTAGTTGCAATTCCCGGCATGCTAAGGGGTATCATTCGATGTGGTCGCTTGTAAGAGTAGTGTTTGCATTCAAGTCTTGCGACGCCCACACACTACGTACTATAGACGCCCTGTAGTGCCTCAACGACGGTTCGAGTCTTTAGGTTTGGGTTCACCCCCCGCTCAAATCCGCGGAATGCAGAGTGCTCAGGATCAAACTTGGCTGATCCGAGACCTGGCTTTACATCAAGACGTTCACCTTGCAGCATTTGTCCTTCTCCTGGGCAGTAGATCTCGATGGTACACGTCTTGCCAAAGGTGTTGATGTTGCAGCAAGCCAGGGTAGCACTCTAGGGGGTATGTGTTACCGAATTGTCCTGCTAGTATTCTCTTATACTATTGCGGGATGGATTGGGGACTTGCTGACCAGGCTTGTAACTTTGGGATAGCTGTAAAAGCTACGAAGCCACTACACGTAAATCCTAAACGGGCCCTGAACCTGTTTGCCGGGCTTCTCGAAACTTCTGGGGCATTCGGCGTTCTTGTGCCATCTTCGTGCTCACTACGATCGTCTCTACTGACACCCGGGCATCGTCGAACTTCAAAAACCAAGGATCCTAGACTTCAAAAACCAAGGATCCTAGATACTGTTTTTGTGCATACTTTCCCAAGTCCTAATACAGATGTCTAGTAACTAGTATAAAAACACTACATACTACTATATAGGTTCTTCGGACCTTCAGGGATCATGCTGAAGCAACCCTAAACCCTAAACCGTGCCTGGCTTCAGGCCCAGGACTGGACTTGGGACCTATGTAGGGGCCTAAACAATTACCAATATTATTTGGGGGATTCTTTATTAGAATTATAGTAGAATGGGCCCCAAAACCCGATTCTAACTATTAAGGCCCCTACATTATGTATGATCATGTACGGTTCTGTTTCTTGTTTTAAGGCCCCAGGTTGAAGGTGTGGGGTTTAGGGTTTGGGGTTTAGGGCTTAGGGTTTAGGGTTTAGGGTTCAGGTTTTAGGGTTTAGGATTTGGGGTTTAGAGTTTGGGGTTCAGGGTTTAGGGTTTGGGGTTTAGGGTTGTTGTTGCTGTTATGTCACATGTCCTGCGCATGATAAACTCGAACAAACAGCAACCCTCGGAAGGAACCTCATTGAATCTATTACGGCCCCTGTACTAAGCCCTTCTAGTAAGCCCATATAGCCCTAAACCCTAACCCTAAACCTAAACCCTAAACCCTAAAAGATCCCTTGATGCGGCAGGTTTAAAATAGGGACTTGAAGATCCTCCAGGCCATAGCCATAGGCCCCTAAGTAGTTCCTTTTGGGGTTTAGGGGTTTAGGGTTTAGGGTTCCATAGGCCCCGATGTAGCTCCTTTTT